CGAAAGACAGTTGCATCTGTCAAGTAGAAAAATAAGGTACCACCTTAAAGTGTGGGGAGGCTAAATTAACTGATTTATGAGGCCATAAAGAAGACTCCAGCAAAGCATTCCAGCAGGGAAGCATGCGGGAAATGTGGAAGTGCTTCATCAGATGGATGATGAAAGCGACAGCTTCCCTGGCGGCCAGAAAAAGTTAAATAGCCTCTGTGTATGTCTGTATATGTTTGTATGTCAAAAATTGGCATTGAATGTTTGCCATATATGTGTACACTGTAATCCGCCCTGAGTCCCTTGCGGGGTGAGAAGGGCGGAATATAAAAGCTGTAAATAAATAAATAATAAATAAATAATAATAAAGGTTGTCCCCTGACATTAAGTCCAGTCATGTCTGACTCTGGGGGTTGGTGCTCATTTCCATTTCTAAGCCGAAGAGCCGGTGTTGTCCATAGACACCTCCAAGGTCATGTGGCCAGCAGCCTCTGTTTAAAAGCTTCCAAAGAAGGAGCCTCCACCACACTCTGGGGCAGAGAGTTCCACTGCTGAACGGCTCTCACAGTCAGGAAGTTCTTCCTAATGTTCAGATGGAATCTCCTTTCTTGTAGTTTGAAGCCATTGTCCCGCGTCCTAGTCTCCAGGGAAGCAGAAAACAAGCTTGCTCCCTCCTCGTGACTTCCTCTCACATATTTATATACTTCTGTTAGCTTTGGTTTGTGGGGAGGAAGGGGTGCTTCCATAACAAGATATTCCTTTCCTCTTCCTTCACAAAGAAGGCTTTTATTTATTTATTTATTATTCGAATTTATATGCCGCCACTCCCCTGGGGCTCAGAGCGGCTTACAAAAGCAGGCTAAAATCTAACACAATTTAAAAACAATGTAAAACAATTTAAAAAGAGCAATATTAAAAGTCAAAGGCCTGTCGAAACAGGTATGTCTTACATGCCCTGCAGAAAGCAGATAAGTCCTGCAAGGCACGGACTTCAGGTGGCAGAGTATTCCAGAGTGATGGTGCCACTGCTGTGAAGGCTCTGCGTCTGGTTGCTGTTAGACGCAAGGTCTTGACACTGGGAATTTCCAATAGATCTTGGTCCTCAGAACGGAGGGATCTCTGGGGTTGGTAGGGGGTGAGGTGGTCCCTCAGGTACATCGGCCCCAGACTATGCAAGGCCTTAAAGGTGAGCACCATCACTTTGAAAGTGATCCGGTGCTCAATTGGTAACCAATGCAGCTGTAGTAAGATTGGTGTTATGTGGCATCTCATCGGAATTCCCGCAAGAAGCCGAGCAGCTGCATTTTCTACCAACTTGAGCTTCCGGATCACCGACAGAGGAAGGCCAATGTAGAGGGCGTTACAGTAGTCCAGTCTTGAGATGACCGTAGCCTGGATCACCGTAGCTAGGTCGTCCCTGGACAGGTAGGGGGCCAGCCATCTAGCCTGCCGCAGATGAAAAAAGGCGGTTCTGCTAACGGCGGAGACCTGGGCCTCCATTGTCAGCAGAGGGTCCAAAAGGACTCCCAGACTCTTTACCAATGATGACGGGCGTAGTGTCTCGCCATCCAGGGTAGGCAGCTGGATGTCCCCACTGCCCGGTTTACCCAGCCATAGGATTTCAGTATTTGCTGGATTCACCCTCAACCTGCTGACACGCAGCCATCCAGTAACGGCCTCGAGGCACTGATGGAAACAATCGGGTACAGAGTTTGGTCTGCCCTCCATCTTCAGCACAAACTGAGTGTCATCAGCGTACTGGTAGCACTCAAGCCCAAAACCTCAAACCAGCTGAGCAAGTGGTCGTATATAGATGTTAAACAACAGAGGGGAGAGAATGGCCCCCTGAGGAACCCCACAAGATAGAGGGGACCTCTCAGAGACCAGGCCTCCCCTCTCCACTCGATGTCCATGGTTGTGAAGAAAGGAGGACAGCCAATTTAAAGCTGTCCCCCTGACTCCAACAGCAGCAAGGCGGTGGGTCGAAAGATTATGGTCGACTGTGTCAAATGCTGCTGTGAGATCCAATAACAAAAGCAGCGCCGACCCGCCCTGGTCAAGTTGGCATCGAAGGCGATCCATGATGGGAGACCAGCACAGTCTCTGTCCCATGCCCTGCACAGAAGCCGGACTGGAAGGGATCTAGTCCGGCTGTGTCGTCTAGGAATTGTTGCAACTACTCCGCTGCTGCCTTCTCAATCACCTTGCCCAGGAACGAGATTCGAAACTGGGCGGTAACTGGAGGGAACCGAGGGATTTTAACTAACAGAAAAGACCATAAATACACATTATTGATTTGCTTTTATTCATTTTTACTAGTACCAAGTCCCATATGCAGCTTAAAACCAAAGCAACTATGTGGTAAAACACTTTACATTTACAACAAGGTTTGGATGTGCTGTACATGTATAGGCATACTTCTGATGAGAGTTTATATCATTAAAAACAATACTGGGCGTGTTGACTGATCACATTCTGGTATCCCCTCAGCCTAGCACAAATATCCACATGTGGAGCTATGTTACATTAGGTCACATGCCCCCTAAAGTTGCTCTGCAGAGTCAGCCTGTGTTTAACAACAGGTAAGAATGGAGCAGGGTCTGGCTACCTCCTCACAGTCAGATACACTGGGACTCCAGAGGAAACCCGTCCTCCCCCATGGATTTGGCACTGCTGTCATTCTTTTACATCTGATCATGCCTTCTCATTGCAAAGAATGGGATGGCCACAGGGGTTTTACTGTGAAGTTGTGGAAGGGAAGTGCTTTGGATGTTGTGAACGTAGGCCGGGGATACTAATCCCCACAGGTGCCTGCAACAATAAGAAACACTGGTGTGTGCATATATCCCTAAAGGAATTCCAGCCACTATGAGCCAGAGATTTTTGGATTGAAACCAACATTGGGACGGGGGATGGCAACTGTTGCCCCTGAGGAAGAGGGGACAGAAATCATGCTGTAGAAAAGAGGTGGGAATCACCAGGACTTCCCATTGGCCTGCGTCTCCTAGCATTCGTCATTGTTGGCTATGCTCACTAAAGTTATTGAGTTGTGATCCACAGCTGGAGGGCCACATGATCTCCATATCCCGGCTGCAGGATATGGGGAAGGTCTCTGTAGAAAGGCACTGCTTGTTTTTTTTGTCACTTTCCCCTCCTCCCCTTCTTTTCTACATCACGTCCTGCGTGATACTTGGCTCCGTCTAAATTTTTGGCAATCTCCTAACTCAGCAGATGCTAATGCCAATGTTTCTAACAGCTGCAGCGAGTAGGAAAAAGCAGCCCCTACTGAAAATCACAGTGATATAAGTCACAGAGTCTTGTCTTCTTTTGTCCTGGGTCTGGAGTACAAAAAGTAAATTATGGTAGGATTTGGGATTAAAACCCAAATCTACCAAAGTGTTTTCTATCTAACAAACATTGAATATATAGGTGCAGAACCAAAGGGGCCAAAGCCAAAACAAGACTAGAAGAGAGAGAAAAATATTAGAGGCCCCTTCCAGTTGTGTTGGGTGGAGCCTTCGTTTTCTGAACATTTGGCAAACTGCTTAAACAGAAAATGAAGGAGCAGGTTTACAGTCATAAAAAACACAGTAAACACAAAACAAAATAAGTAACATATCAAATTATTGTACAAAACAAAATGAACATTTATTGTTAAGAGATTTTAGGTTGGGTGCTCTAGGTTAGAGTATTCTAGACCAGAAGTCTCTAAGCTAGAAGAGCCTTTTCCACAGCTCTTCTTTTTGGGTTGACGCACAAAGAATCTTTTTTTTTTTTGTTTTAGGTTATAATGATCTAAGTTGGGGTGTTCTAGGTCATTGGGCTCTAGACCAGAAGACTCTAGGTTAGAAGGGTCTGAGAAGAGCACTTTCCTCAGCTATTCTTTTTGGACCACCACATGAAGAATATTCTCAGATTGAGGTTAGAATGATATTGGTTAGATTCTACGCCATTGTGGTCTAGGTTGGTGTGTTCTAGATCAGGATCTAGGCTAGAAGAGTTCTGAACATTTGGCAAAATGCTTAAACAGAAAATGAAGGAGCAGGTGAAGCAGAGGCAAGTCACTTGAGGCTGTTTCTACCATTCACATACTTCCTTCATTAAAAAAAAAGTCCGTCCATCACATTGAGTGCATTCCTGGAACCAGCCAGGGTAAAACTAATGAAAGCCAAGTTCAGAAGTATATATGTGACACCCCTTTGAGGTAGAAGAAAGGTGGCATGCAAACCCTGAGCTTTTTTGAGTGGTGCCTTTGCACATGAGCTGGAGGAGGAAGAGGTGAACAGATGGAAGTGGGACTCCGCATCCTTCAAAACAAAGAAGCTTAAAGAAAATCCTGGTTAGGATCAGCCTGCTTTCTTGAACAAGAGATAAGCAGAATGTCTAGTCCTGACTTGGCCCACTCTGATTGTTGCTTTCCTCTCATGGAAAACACTAGGATATCTGGGTTGTTGTAGGTTTTTTTGGGCTATATGGCCATGTTCTAGAGGCATTTTCTCCTGACGTTTCACCTGCATCTATGGCAAGCATCTTCAGAGGTAGTGAGGTCTGTTGGAAACTAGGAAAATGGGTTTATATTTCTGTGGAATGACCAGGGTGGGACAATCTGTCATTCCACAGATATATAAACCCACTTTCCTAGTTCCAACAGACCTCACTACCTCTGAGGATGCTTGCCATAGATGCAGACAAAACATCAGGAGAGAATGCCTCTAGAACAGTGGTTCTCAACCTGTGGGTCCCCAGCTGTTTTGGCCTACAATTCCCAGAAATCCTAACAGCTGGTAAACTGGCTGGGATTTCTGGGAGTTGTAGGCCAAAAACATCTGGGAACCCAAGGTTGAGAAGCACTGCTCTAGAACATGGCCATATAGCCCAAAAAAACCCTACAACAACCCAGTGATTCCGGCCATGAAAGCCTTCGACAATACTAGGATATCTGTTTGAAGATTAAAAAAATCCAGCTCAGACAGTGGCTGTGTACAGAGCTGCCATGTAAACAAGATCTTCCATTCAGATATGCCATTTTCCATGTGAGAAACTGACTGGTCAAGGAGGTGGGACTAGATGCTTGATCTGGTGTTGAAGAAAGCAGTAAGGGAGAAGGCAGAAACAGAACTACAACAATAAAAAGTGACACCACATAAGGAGTAAATGCTTAAGATGGACAGTTGCTCTGCACTCCTTGAGTTTGCAATGGTAACTGGTAGATCTGGAAGCCAGAGGTGCTTGGAAATGATCCTCCTTCAGTGGCGGAGACATTTGGGAAAGGATAGCCATCTTCTGTCTTCACAGGAGCATATTCCATGTTTGCAGGGAGGCCATGAAAAAAGTTAATCTTTTGTTGACTGATGTAGCCCACTGCCTGTTGGCCATTGAAGCCCACTGCCTGTTGGTTGAAAGAGACCCCAGCAGCTTTCCCAAAAAAGCTCCCATCCTCACCACTCGCAATCTGATAAAAGTTCTGGGGGTTACCATAGATCTGGTGGTCACTGGTGTAGTTTTGGTTATTGGCGTAGAGCTGGTTGCTTGCAAAGTTCTCATGCACGCCAGCCAAGGCATGGATGTTCCTTGATTCACCAACGCCATAACCTTGCTGATAATTAGGATTCATCTGCAGGAAACCATTCTGCTGGAAGAGAAATGTGTAAATTAATATTTCAACACCAGCAGGGTAGTGATAAATCTTTAAATGCAGGCCCTCATCGGGATAGTCTTGATAGCAAGGGAGGGAAACCACACATGTTGGGTGTGTGTGTTGCCTGTCAAATATACCTCACAAATAATAATATTAATAATAATAATAATCTATATAAATAAAAATGTAATGTTCGTTTGTGGGATTAACAGAACTCAAAAACCACTGGATGAATTTACACCAAATTTGGACAGCATACACCTAACAACCCAATGTATGTTCTTCACTCAAAAAAATGATTTTGTCATTTGGGAGTTGTAGTTGCTGGGATTTACAGTTCACCTACAATCAAAGAGCATTCTGAACCCCACAAACGATGGAATTGAACCAAACTTGGCGCACAGTTCTCTCATGACCAACAGAAAATACTGGAAGGGTTTGGTGGGCAGTGTCCTTTGGTTTTGGAGTTCACCTACATCCAATGATCACTGAGGACTCAAACAATGATGGATCTGGACCAAACTCTACAAGAATACTCAATATGCCCAAATGTGAACACTGGTGGAGTTTGGGGAAAATAGAATTTTGACATTTGGGAGTTGTAGTTGCTGGGATTTATAGTTTACCTGGATGGCCATCTGTCAGGGGTGCTTTGAATGCAATATTCCTGCTTCTTGGCAGGGGGTTGGACTGGATGACCCACGAGGTCTCTTCCAACTCTATGATTCTATGATTCTAAGGTAAAGGTTTTCCCCTGACATTAAGTCCGTTGTGTTTGACTCTGGGAAGTGGTGCTCATCTCCATTTCTAAGCCAAAGAGCCGGCGTTGTCTGTAGACACCTCCAAAGTCATGTGGCCGGCATGACTGCATGGAGCGCTGTTACCTTCCCACTGGATGTTTTCGAATTGCTATGTTGGCAGGAGCTGGGGTTAATAGCGGAAGCTCACACCGCTCCCCGGATTCGAACCTGCGACCTTTCGGTCAGCAAGTTCAGCAGCTCAGCGCTTTAACCCACTGCGCCACCGAGGGATTCCCCCCCCCCCCCAAGTGTATATGTTCCTATTCTGGCGTTCATACATTTTTGTTGGCTCCACTATTGCATGGTTTAACACACTAATAATGAGAGTTGTGATCTGAATTTGTGGCTTATTCAATGCATGTCACATTCATAATCTCAGTTGCTACAACTCTGTAGGAATGGCCAGTGCAAATTCTCCCCTTGTTGTGGATGGAGGCTGAGAGCAACATGGCCTAAGGCTACATACAATATCCATGGCAGGACAGCCGTCTTCTGTGATATGCAAATCAGTGACTTATCTTTCAGCTTTGCCTGGAATCTTGTCTGCCTTTTTAGAATGATAAAATGCATGTTTGTTTTGTTTGGGGCATAATTATAGAGACACAAGACTAGCAAAATGTCCTAACTTTTTTGTTATTCCCAGTTCCTAGAAGAGGGATTCCTAAACTCCAGTCCAGTCCTTTTCAAGTGTCTTCTCGGTCTTCGGTCATTTAGAACAGGGGTCCCCAAACTACGGCCTGCGAGCCATATGTGGCCCGCCGAGGGCATTTCTCCGGCCTGCGCGGCCTGGCCTGGCCACACCCACCCGGCACCACTCTGTCAATTGCGGACACCCTCTGCTCCGGCCGCTCTGCCTGTGTGGGAGGGAGAAGCCTCCCAGGTGGGTCCTCTGCAGAGCAGAGCGGCTGGAGCAGAGGGTGTCCGCAATTGACGGAGCGGCGCTGGGTGGGCATGGCCAGGGAACGCTGGCGTGGTGAAGGCAGGTGAACTACAACTCCAAAACTCAAGGTCAATGCCCACTAAACCCAGTAATTTCTGTTGTTCATGGGAGTTCTGTGTACCAAGACTGGTTCAATTCCATCATTGGTGGAGTTCAGAATGCTCTTTGATTGAACTATAAATGCCAGCAAATACAACCCCCAAACGCCACCAGTGTTCACATTTGGACATATTGAGTATCAGTGCCAAGTTTGGTCCAGATCATCATTGTTTGAGTCCACAGTGATCTCTGGATGTAGGTGAACTACAACTCCAAAACCAAAGGACACTGCCCACCAAACCCTCCCAGTATTTTCTGTTGGTCATGGGAGAACTGTGTGCCAAGTTTGGTTCAATTCCATCGTTGATGGGGTTCAGAATGCTCTTTGATTGTAGGTGAACTATAAATCCCAGCAACTACAACTCCCAAATGTCAAGATTCTATTTTCCCCAAACTCCACCAGTGTTCAAATTTGGGCATATTGAGTATTTGTGCCAAGTTTGATCCTGATCCATCATTGTTTGAGTCCACAATGATCTCTGAATGTAGGTGAACTACAACTCCAACACCAAAGGACACTGCCCACCAAACCCAGTATTTTCTGTTGGTCATGGGAGAACTGTGTGCCAATTTTGGTTCAATTCCATCGTTGGTGGGGTTCAGAATGCTCTGTGATTGTAGATGAACTATAAATCCCAGTAACTACAACTCCCAAATGACAAAATCAATTTTTTGCGTGAAGGACATACATTGGGTTGTTAGGTGTCTTGTGTCCAAAATTGGTGTCAATTCGTCCAGTGGTTTTTGAGTTCTGTTAACCCCACAAGTGATTTAGAAGATCTGGGAACATCTGCTCCCTCATAAGACTAGTTCCCATTACCTGAGGTGGGCACATCCCTTTTCTCATCCACAGACTTTCCTTCTGGGTTCGTTTAAACTTCATCCGTTGATTCTGAAACCACGTTTTTATCTGGAACACCATAATAAAACCGCTCAATCAGATTGTTATATAAAGAAGCCATACAAAAGTATATTTGTATTTCCTAGGGAAATGTACAGTTGCACTTCCAGATGCACAGGTCTGAGTTTGGTGGATTTGATTATTTGTGGATTCCATTAAAATGTTCTTGAGGAATCTCTAATCCCACCAGTATGACTCTATAGCCACTCTTCTCTGGACATTGACCAGACTCATGCTGGATGGACTGGAGATCCTAGTGAGAACCCTTTTCTATGGTCAGTTTCCAGTGGAGATTGACAATAAGATTTGTTTTGGAAATTCCCAGAGAAGTGTTTTCTCAGGTAAAAAATAGCAATTTTTTTATTTGCAGTTTTTCACTCTGATGGGGCATCCTGTGCCCCTAACTCCAGTGAAAATGGATGGCTTTTCCATGGCATGTGTTCTGTATCTCAAAAACTAGAGCTGATAGGGGAGAACTGGTGCCGTTTTCGGCATCATCAGGTCAAATACACCCAGAAATAATCCTAACATTTGAGGCACCAAAATGTGTGTTGTAAGGTTGTTCCCTGACATTAAGTTGTGTCCAACTCTGGCGTGTGGGGCTCATCTCCATTTCTAGGCTGAAGAGCCAGCATTGTCCATAGACACCTCCAAGGTCATGTGGCCGGCATGACTGCATGGAGTGCTGTTACCTTCCCGCCGGAGCGATACCTATTGACCTACACTCATTTGCATGTTTTCAAACTGCTAGGTTGGCAGAAGCTAGGGCTGACAGCGGAAGCTCACGCCGCTCCCCAGAATCGAACCTGCGACCTTTCAGTCAACAAGCTCAGCAGGTCAGCGCTTTAACTGACTGCACCACAGGGGGCTCCTTTTGTGTGTTAGCCAGTGTAATAAACACAATAATAATAATAATAATAATAACAACAACAACAACAGATTTTTTTTGTCGTGTCAGGAGCGACTTGAGAAACTGCAAGTCTCTTCTGGTGTGAGAGAATTGGCCGTCTGCAAGGACGTTGCCCAGGGGACGCCCGGATGATTTGATGTTTTTATCATCCTTGTGGGAGGCTTCTCTCATGTCCCCGCATGAGGAGCTGGAGCTGATAGAGGGAGCTCATCCGCCTCTCCCCGGATTCGAACCTGTGACCTGTCGGTCTTCAGTCCTGCCGGCACAGGGGTTTAACCCACTGCGCCACCGGGGGCTCCATATTATGATTAGTGCTGGAAAAAGTTACAGAAAATGAACACGTTAAACTCCTCTGGGACTTCCGAATTCAGACAGACAGATTTTTGGAGCACAATACTCCTGACCTCACAATCGTGTTAAAAAACAAAGTGTGGATTGTCGATGTTGCAATCCCAGGTGACAGCAGGATTGAAGAGAAACAACTGGAAAAGCTGACAGATATGAGGATTTAGAGATCGAACTGCAAAGACTCTGGCACAAGCCAGTCAAGGTGGTCCCAGTGGTGATCGGAACACTGAGTGCAGTGCCTAAAGACCTTGGCCTGCACTTAAACACAATCGGCACTGACAAAATTGCCATATGTCAGCTGCAGAAGGCCACTTTACAGGGGTCTGCACGTATTATTCGCTAATACATCACACAGCCCTAAACATGTGGGAAGTGTCTGACGTGTGATCCAATACAACAGCCAGCAGAGTGATCTTGTCTGCTGTGGACTCATCTTGTTGTGTTTCAAATATAATAATAATAATAATAATAATAATAATAATAATAATAATAATAATAATATAAAACAGGTATCGTATAGTTTAAATATGTCATTAGGAAAAGAAAAAAAACAGAGGTTAGAGAAAGGAACAAAGTAGATAGTGTAATACAGTATAAAGTTAGATGCTACTCCCCTCCCACTGGATAGAAAACAGTGTATCTTGTGAAGCCAGGAGTGGAAATTACACTATGCAACAAAATTTGAAAAAAAAAAAATCTGTTCCTGGTTTGAAAGTGTTCTTTCCTGTTTAATTGTACCGTACTTACTTTGAAAGTAGCTTTTATACTCCAGAAACTTCATTTTTGTGCCAGCTGTAAACTGTGTTGAATTGGTGGAGACTTTATGAGATATTCATTGGAAAACTACAGCAAAATTTGCTGCAGGATGTCCGGCAAAAAAAAAGTTTGATAATAAACTTTTCTCATGTTTTTATGATAGAACCAATTAGGAAATGACATTTATAACCCAGGATTGTGGTGCAGCTGGCTGAGCGTCAGCTGCATTAAGATCACTCTGACCAAAAGGTCATGAGTTCGAAGCCAGCCCGGGTTGGAGTGGGTTTCCAACCAATTGTGTGTAGCCTGTTGTGGACCTTTGCAACCCGAAAGATAGTTGCATCTGTCAAGTAGGAAAATAAGGTACCACCTTAAAGTGTGGGGAGGCTAAATTAACTGATTTATGAGGCTATAAAGAAGACTCCAGCAAAGCATTCCAGCGGGGAAGCATGCGGGGAATGTGGAAGTGCTTCATCAGCATCGCAGATGGACGATGAAAGCAGAAAAATGGCGGCCAGAAAAAGTTAAATATAGCCTCTGTGTATGTCTGTATATGTTTGTATGTCAAAAATTGGCATCGAATGTTTGCCATATATGTGTAGACTGTAATCTGCCGAGTCCTCTAAGGGGTGAGAAGGGCAGAATATAAAAGCTGTAAATAATAAATAAATAAATAAATAAATAAAATATTGCTCCCCCAATATGGGAACTCCTCATATTTGTCAACATTGGTTATGCTGGCTGAGGCCTCTAGAAGCTGCAGTCTATGATTCTTATGAATCATAGACTGCAGTATTACCATTTTTCTCCAGGTAATATTTACTACAATTCCAACTGTCATAACTAGCATTAGTCAACACAAGTGGAGGCCACCAGATCAGAGGAGACTAGTAATTCTAGTAATGGCGGCCTTCAATGATTTGTCCTGCCATCATCTTGTCCCTGCACCTTGCGGCTATCCTGCCAAGAGCCTTACCTGCTTGTAGGTGAGTTCCAAGGCAGAGGCCAATTCTCGGATCTGTTGCGGACTGAGGTATTTCTGGTTCTGGAATCTGTGGTGGAGGATCTGGAGCTGCTTTTGAGTGAATGCTGCCCGGGTCTTTTTCCCTTTTTCTCCCTTGAGCTTCTGAGATGTTGACTGCGGGGAAGGGGGCCCATTGGGACTGGTGGCTGAGTCTGGAGTGTAGAGAGTATGGATGCCAGAACTGTAGGAATGTGGAGAATCATCTAGGGGTCAAGCAGAGACGGCAACTTAAGAAGGATGCATAGTACATGATAGGCAGGTCAAAATTTGCTCCTGTGCTTTTTCAAATGTTTAACCACAAGATAAAAATTGCAGAATTGGTTTTATTGTATTTATTGGTGAACCCTTATATAGGTAGTCCCTAAGCTACAAACATCCGACTTACAAGCAAACTAATAATAATAATAATAATAATAATAATAATAATAATAATTCAACTTTATTTATACCCTGCCACCTGCCACCATCTCCCCAACGGGGACTCGGAGGCCCGAACAACAATTACAATATTATTTAACATCTATATGCGACCACTTGCTCAGCTGGTTCGAGGTTTTGGGCTTGAGTGTTATCAGTACGCCGATGACACTCAGCTGGTGCTGAAGATGGAAGGCCGTCCGGACTCTGTACCCGATTGTTTCCATCAGTGCCTCGGCCGTTACTGGATGGCTGCGTGCCAGCAGGTTGAGGGTGAATCCAGCAAAGACTGAGATCCTATGGCTGGGTCGACCGGGCAGTGGGGACATCCAGCTGCCTACCCTGGGTGGCAAGGCACTATACCAGTCATCATTGATAAAGAGTCTGGGAGTCCTTTTGGACCCTCTGCTGACAATGGAGGCCCAGGTCTCCGCCGTTAGCAGAACCGCTTTTTTTCATCTGCAGCAGGCTAGACGGCTGCCCCCCTACCTGTCCAGGGACAACCTAGCTACGGTGATCCAGGCCACGGTCATCTCAAGACTGGACTACTGTAACACCCTCTACATTGGCCTTCCTCTGTCGGTGATTCGGAAGCTCAAGTTGGTACAAAATGCAGCTGCTCGGCTTCTTGCGGGAATTCCGATGAGATGCCACATAACACCAATCTTACTACAGCTGCATTGGTTACCAATTGAGCACCGGATCACTTTCAAAGTGATGGTACTCACCTTTAAGGCCTTGCATGGTCTGGGGCCGATGTATCTGAGGGACCGCCTCACCCCCTACCAACCCCAGAGATCCCTCCGTTCTGAGGACCAAGATCTATTGGAAATTCCCAGTGTCAAGACCTTGCGTCTAACAGCAACCAGACGCAGAGCCTTTACAGCAGTGGCACCATCACTCTGGAATACTCTGCCACCTGAAGTCCGTGCCTTGCGGGACTTACCAGCTTTCCGCAGGGCATGTAAGACATAGCTGTTTCGACAGGCTTTTAATGTTTGATAGTGTTGTTTTTAAATTGTTTTAAATTGCTTTTAAATTTTGTTAGATTTTAGCTATTCTTGTAAGCCGCTCCGAGCCCCAGGGGAATGGCGGCATATAAATGTAAATAAATAAATAAATAAATAAAACCGAAACACAACCGAAAATGCAAACAATAAACATCGTCATAATTACATAAAACATATGAATACATAACAATATAAGAATTACAATAGACACAGGCACAAACTCATAGATAAGAACAGGGTTGAGTTGAGACAACAGGAAGTGAGAAACATCTACCCCTCAGAAGGGAAATTAACATGGAAGTGTTATCATGGGGGAACGGTGTCACCAATCCCTGTTTCCAGAACAAGCCATTTTTTTCCAAAATCCAGTTATCACGTGGACAGAAAGTGATGTGAAATCTTCTGAACAGGGGTACAGACAGAGAAACAGACATCACAGGGGTGGTAACCCTTCCCTATGCTATCCAAAGCTACAAGATGTATATATTTGGCTGAAGTTACTCTTTAAAATGTACCTGTTACAACTTACATACAAACTGAAGAACCTTTCTTGCTCGCAACTTAGGGACTACCTATATTGGTGAAACATGCATGTTTCTAAGTTGTAGGTTTTTTCGGGCTATATGGTCATGTTCTAGAAAGCTCTAGAAAGCACTGGGTTGTTGTTGGTTTTTTTGGGCTATATGGCCATGTTCTAGAGGCATTTTCTCCTGACATTTTGCCTGCATCTATGGCAAGTATCCTCAGAGGTAGTGAGGTCCTCACTACCTGTGAGGTTGCTTGCCAAAGATGCAGGCGAAACATCAGGAGAAAATGCCTCTAGAACATGGCCATATAGCCCAAAAAAACCAACAGCAACCCAGTGATTCCGGCCATGAAAGCCTTCGACAATACAATGCATATTTCTAGTTTGTACATCATTCCAAACAGCAAGACAGCAAATTCTCACCACTTTGTAAACTGAAAACAGCTTCTTTAATATTCAGACAATACAGTGATTAGAAAAAGAGGGGCCGACCAATTTTTTAAAACATGCAGTATATTTAAATATTTAAATGACATGCAAAACGTTAATAAAAGATTGAATAATATTTAAATGTTTTCAGGCTGTGGGTGGAATTTTGGGGGGAAGGATTGTTTGAAAATGCCTTTTAATTGCATATTCTATTTTAATAGGACCAGACGTATGTTGTATGTTGTGTTTGCACTGTCTGTTTTTGATAAGGCCAACTGGCTAATCAATAAAATTGTTGTTGTTGTTTTAATTGTATTTATTGCATTTTTAACCGAACACACACATATACACAATACTATTAAATTGTGTGTGTGTGTTTTTAAAATTGTAGCTGCTTTGTTTTAAATGGATTCAGGTGTATGGCTCTGAGCCGCCTTGAGTCCCTGAGGGAGAGAGGCAGAGTATAAAGACAGTAAATAACAAAACACTATGTAACAATTTGGGGGGGTGTGGGACCTGTTCCTGGTTTGAACGTGTTATTTCCTGTTTAATTGTGCAGACCTAACTTTGAAAGTAGTTATCCGAATCACTGGGTTGTTGTAGGTTTTTTCAGGCTATATGGCCATGTTCTAGAGGCATTCACTCCTGACGTTTCGTCTGCATCTATGGCAAGCATCCTCAGAGGTAGTGAGGACTCACTACCTCTGAGGATGCTTGCCATAGATGCAGGCGAAACGTCAGGAAAGAATGCCTCTAGACCATGGCCATATAGCCCGAAAAAAACCCTACAACAACACAGTGATTCTGGCCATGAAAGCCTTCGATAATATATCTTCCAGAAACTTTGCTTTTGTGGTTGCTGCAAACCATGTTGAATTGGTTGAGACATTCATTGAAAAACGATAGCAAAATGTGCTGCACAATGTCCCGCAAAAACAAAAGTTTTGGCAGTTTGATAAAAAAAAATCCCATGTTTTTAATGACAGAACTAATTCGGGAATGACATGTATAACCCAGGAACAAAAACCGCATTTCATAGTGTAACAATAATAAAGAAAATCCAATATGAGTTGGTTAAATTGTCCCTATAAACAGAGAACTTTCACCGACTTTGCTGATCCCTTTAAATCAAGGGTACTCAAACTAAGGCCCGGAGGGCGGATACGGCCCTCCAAGGTCATTTACCCGGCCCTCGCTCAGGGTCAACCTAACTCTGAAACGACTTGAAAACACACAACAACAACAACAACAACAACAACAACAACAACAACCCTATCTCATCAGCCAAAAGCAGGCCCACACTTCCCACTGAAATTCTAATAAGTTTATATTTGTTAAAATTGTTCTTCATTTTAATTATTGTATTGTTTTAAAGTGTTTTTTGCACTACAGATAAGATATGTGCAGTGTGCATAGGTATTCATTCATGTTTTTTCAAATTATAGTCTGGCCCTCCAACAGTTTGAGGGACTGTGACCTGGACCTATGTTTAAAAAGTTTGAGAACCCCTGCTTTAAACCCTTCCAGGGCAGCCAGCTGTTCGAGCCTCCAACTCCCAGAATTCCTGGCCATTGAACAGAGTGGCAAAGGCTTCTGGGAGTTGGAGGCCTGGCGATGCAGGCTGGCGATGCCTAGCTCCAGGGCTTAAAGCCGTCGGGCCTCCAACTCCCAGAACTCCTGGCCATTGAACAGAGTGATAAAGGCTTCTGGGAGTTGGAGGCCAGACGATGCAGGCTGGAGAGGCCTGTATCCAGGGCTTAAAGCCGTCGGGGGCCTCCAACTCCCAGAACTCCTGGCCATTGAACAGAGTGGCGAAGGCTTCTGGGAGTTGGAGGCCAGACGATGCAGACTGGAGATGCCTAGCTCCAGGGCTTGGAGCCGTCGGGCCTCCAACTCCCAGAATTCCTGACCATTGAACACAGTGACAAGGGCTTCTGGGAGTTGGAGGCCAGACGATGCAGACGGGAGATGCCGAGCTCCAGGGCTTAAAGCCGTCGGGGTCTTCCAACTCCCAGAATTCCTGGCCATTCAACACAGTGACAAGGGCTTCTGGGAGTTGGAGGCCAGACGATGCAGACTGGAGATGCCTGTCTCCAGGGCTTGGAGCCGTCGGGCCTCCAACTCCCAGAATTCTTGACCATTGAACACAGTGACAAGGGCTTCTGGGAGTTGGAGGCCAGACGATGCAGACTGGAGATGCCTAGCTCCAGGGCTTAAAGCCGTCGGGCCTCCAACTCCCAGAATTCCTGGCCATTGAACAGAGTGACAAGGGCTTCTGGGAGTTGGAGGCCAGACGATGCAGACTGGAGATGCCTAGCTCCAGGGCTTAAAGCCGTCGGGCCTCCAACTCCCAGAACTCCTGGCCATTGAACAGAGTGGACAAGGGCTTCTGGGAGTTGGAGGCCAGACGATGCAGACGGGAGATGCCGAGCTCCAGGGCTTAAAGCCGTCGGGGTCTTCCAACTCCCAGAATTCCTGGCCATTCAACACAGTGACAAGGGCTTCTGGGAGTTGGAGGCCAGACGATGCAGGCTGGAGAGACCTGTCTCCAGGGCTTGGAGCCGTCGGGCCTCCAACTCTCAGAATTCTTGACCATTGAACACAGTGACAAGGGCTTCTGGGAGTTGGAGGCGAGAAGATGCAGGTTGGGGGTGCCTGTCTCCAGGGCTTAGAGCCTCCCAGAACTCCTGGCCATTGAACAGAGTGGCGAAGGGCTTCTGGGAGTTGGAGGCCAGACGATGCAGACTGGAGATGCCTAGCTCCAGGGCTTAAAGCCGTCGGGCCTCCAACTCCCAGAACTCCTGGCCATTGAACAGAGTAGCGAGGGCTTCTGGGAGTTGGAGGCCAGACGATGCAGACTGGAGATGCCTAGCTCCAGGGCTTGGAGCCGTCGGGCCTCCAACTCCCAGAATTCCTGGCCATTGAACAGAGTGGCGAGGGCTTCTGGGAGTTGGAGGCGAGAAGATGCAGGTTAGGGGTGCCTGTCTACAGGGCTTGGAGCCGGCGTCCTTTTGGACGCTGGGCCTGGGGAAGAGGCTTCGTACCTGGCTGGCTGCGGGGCTCCTTCTCGTCCTCCTCCTCACCGCCGCCTCGTCCTCCTCCTCCCAGAGACTCCCGAGCGGGGAAGCCCTCGGGGTAATGGGCCGCCGCGTCCCTCTGCCCCGAAGGGTAGACGTAGTAGTCGTCGAAGCCCATCCCTGACGCCGAGGAGGGCCTCGAGGGGCCCTTTATGCCCGAGCCGATCTCCAGGGGGTGGGGCTCGTCGGAGGGAGAGAGGGAGGGCGCCTCCCGAGGAGACCCGGCCCTGGAGGCAGGGCGGAGCAAGGGCGGGGGCCTTCGCAGAGGGAGCCCCTCCACTCCTCGATGCCCACTGGGATGCCTGCCTACAGGCCAGGTGGGAAAGAGGGAAGTACGCTCAGGATAGCAGGAGTCTTCAGTCACACGAGCTGAGCAACATTGGCGCCTTATTAACACACCTGACAATGCACTTTTGTATTGCAATGGTATCCACGGTAGTCCATGTTCTGGTTACATCCGTATAGACTACTGCCACACACTCTGTGTGGGGCTGCCTTTGAAGACTGTTCAGGCGGCAGCCAGGTTATTTATTTGTCGTGTCAGAGCATTACATTTCTAACAGAAGAAAGCAAACAAACAGACAGATACAAAACTTGTGAGTTTGATAGTTGGTTAAATGTCCTTTGACCAGTATCTGGCCACTTGGAGTGCTCCTGGTGTTGCTGCAAGTAGGTCCTCCCTTGTGCATGTGGCTGGTTGCATTGCAGCAGGTGTTCAGTGGTTTGCTCCTCTCCGCACTCGCATGTCGAGGATTCCATTTTGTAGCCCCATTTCTGAAGGTTGGCTCTGCATCTCGTGGTGCCAGAGCGCAGTCTGTTCAGCGCCTTCCAAGTCGCCCAGTTTTCTGTGTGCCCAGGGGGGAGTCTCTCATTTGGTATCAGCCATTGATTGAGGTTCTGGGTTTGAGCCTGCCACTTTTGGACTCTCGCTTGCTGAGGTGTTCCAGCGAGTGTCTCTGTAGATCTTAGAAAACTATGTCTGGATTTAAGTCATTGACGTGCTGGCTGTTACCCAAACAGGGGGTGAGCTGGAGATGTCTCTGCCTTGGACCAAGGACCAAGGCCATTCCTACAGAGTTGTAGCAACTGAGATTATGAATTTATTTTAGGAAACTGTTTCTTGATTTAAGTCGTTGACGTGCTGGCTGATACCCAAACAAGGGATGAGCTGGAGATGTCTCTGCCTTGGTCCTTTCACTGTTGGCTGCTACTTCCTGGCAGATGTCAGGTGGTGCAATACCGGCTAGGCAGTGTAATTTCTCCAGTGGTGTAGGGCGCAGACACCCCGTGATAATGCGGCATGTCTCATGAAGAGCCACATCCACTGTTTTAGCGTGGTGAGATTAGTTCCACACCAGGCATGCATACTCAGCAGCAGAGTAGCATAGCGCAAGGGCAGATGTCTTCACTGTGTCTGGTTGTGATCCCCAGGTTGTGCCAGTCAGCTTTCGAATGATATTGTTTCTAGCACCCACTTTTTGCTTGATGTTCAGGCAGTGCTTCTTGTAGGTCAGAGAACGGTCCAGAGTGACTCCCAGGTATTTGGGTGCGCTGCAATGCTCCAGTGGGATTCCTTCCTAGGTAATCCTCAGAGCTCGGGATGCTTGTCTGTTCTTAAGGTGAAAGGCACATGTCTGTGTTTTAGATGGATTAGGGAATCAGCTGGTTTTCCCTGTAATAGGCAGTAAGAGCACCTAGAGCTTCGGAGAGCTTTTGTTCAACCATCTCAAAGCTCCCTGCTTGAGTGGTAATGGCACGATCATCAGCATAGATGAAACTCTCTGTCCCTTCTGGCAGTGGCTGGTCATTTGTGTAGATGTTGAACATGGATGGAGCAAGCACGCTCCCCTGAGGCAGGCCGTTCTTCTGTTTCCGCCATCTGCTTCTCTGGCCCTGGAACTCAACAAAAATGCTCCTGTTTTGTAGCAGGTTTCCTATGAGGCGGGTGAAGTGATATTACACATTTTTCTCAGGAGGAGGCGGTGGCTCACAGTATCATAAGCTGCTGACAGGTCTATGAAGACAGCTCCTGTGATCTGCTGCCTTTCAAAGCCATCTTCTATGTGCTGAGTCAGGTTCAACACTTGCGATGTGCAGCTTTTGCCTTTCCTGAAGCCAGCTTGCTGTGGAATCAGACAGGGGTCTATTTTTTCCATAATTCTATGCAGAATAAGTCTCTCCAGAACTTTGTAGAGGTGGCACAACAGGGAGATTGGTCTGTAGCTTTTTGGATCATTACGGTCTTTGCCTGGCTTCAAGATGGCAATGACTCTTGCTTTCCTCCAGATTTTGGGGATCTGACAGGATGCAGTGCAGTTGTTCATCAGCTCCAGTAGCCAGCACTTTGCTTTTGGGCCAAAGTTCTTGATTTGTTCCATCCGTAGATCAGGCAAGCCAGCTGCTTTGCCATTCTTACAGGCCAGGTGGGAAAGAGGAAAGAACGCTCAGGGTTGCAGGAGTCTTCAGTCACATGAGCTGAGCAATATTGGCGCCTTATTAACCCACCTGGCAACACACTTTTTTATTGCAACAGTATCCATCTAATTATACATAGAAATCAACACACTTTACAGTGGGGAAAAAAGTATTTAGTTCTCCCACTTAAAAAGATGAGAGAGGCCTGTAATTGACATCATAGGTAGACCTCAACTATGAGAGACAACATGAGAAAACACATCCAGAAAATCACATTGCCTGATTTTTAACTCCAAAACTCTGTCTGTCTGACTCCGGAACCCCAGAGGAAGTTTGATATAGGTTCTTGTGGTTTTTTTCGGGCTATAGGGCCATGTTCTAGAGGCATTTCTCCTGACGTTTCGCCTGCATCTATGGCAAGCATCCTCAGACCTCACTACCTCTGAGGATGCTTGCCATAGATGCAGGCGAAACGTCAGGAGAAATGCCTCTAGAACATGGCCCTATAGCCCAAAAAAACCCACAAGAACCTAGTGATTCCGGCCATGAAAGCCTTCGACAATACATTGAAGTTTGATATGTTCAAATTATTATTATTATTATTATTATTATTATTATTATTATTATTAACACGACAAGTTAAATGGACGAACCCAGAGGGTGCTTCTCCCCAATGCTTCCTCTTCATCCTGGAAAGAAGTGATGAGCGGAGTGGCACAAGCAGGGTTCCGTCCTGGGCCCGGTCCTGTTCAACATCTTTATTAATGAGTTAGATAGTGGTCTCAACCTGGGGTCCCCAGATGTTTTGGCCTTCAATCCAGAAATCCTAACAGCTGGTAAACTGGCCTGGGATTTCTGGGAGTTTGGCAAAATCTGGGGACCCCAGTTGAGAACCACTGACTTAGATGAAGGGCGAAGGGATCATCAAGTTTGCAGACGACACCAAATGGGGAGGGATAGCCAATACTCCAGAGGACAGGAGCAGGATTCAAAACGATCTTGACAGATTAGAGAGATGGGCCAAAACTAACAAAATGAAGTTCAACAGTGACAAATGCAAGATACTCCACTTTGGCAGGAAAAAACGAAATGCAAAGATACAGAATGGGGAATGATGATGCCTGGCTCAAGAGCAGTACATATGAAAAAGATCTTGGTCCTCGTGGACAACAAGTTAAACATGAGCCAACAATGTGATGTGGTGGCAAAAAAAGCCAATGGGATTTTGGTCTGCATCAATAGGAGTATAGTGTCTAGATCTAGGGAAGTAATGCTACCCCTCTATTCTGCCTTGGTTAGACCACACCTAGAATATCTCCTATTGTATGTTGTTCATTCGTTCAGTCGTCTCCGAATCTTCGTGACCTCATGGACCAGCCTACGCCAGAGCTCCCTGTGAGCCGTTACCACCCCCAGCTCCCTCAAGGTCAGTCCAGTCACTTCAAGGATGCCATCCATCCATCTTGCCCTTGGTCGGCCCCTCTTCCTTTTGCCTTCCACTTTCGCCAGCATAATTGTCTTCTCTAGGCTTTCCTGTCTCCTCATGATGTGGCCAAAGTACTTCAACTTTGTCTCTAGTATCCTTCCCTCCAGTGAGCAGTCGGGCTTTATTTCCTGGAGGATGGACTGTTGGATCTTCTCGCAGTCCAAGGCACTCTCAGCACTTTCCTCCAACACCACAGCTCAAAAGCATCTCTTCCTTCGCTCGGCCTTCCCTAAGGTCCAGCTCTCACATCCGTAGGTTACTACAGGGAATACCATGGCTTTGACTAGGCGGATCTTTGTTGCCAGTCTGATGTCTCTACTCTTCACTATTTTATCGAGACTGGACATTGCTCTCCTCCCAAGAAGTAAGCGTCTTCTGATTTCCTGGCTACAGTCTGCATCTGCAGTAATCTTTGCACCTAGAAATACAAAGTCTGTCACGGCCTCCACATTTTCTCCCTCTATTTTCCAGTTGTCAATCATTCTTGTTGCCATAATCTTGGTTTTTTTTATGTTTAGCTGCAACCCAGCTTTTGCACTTTCTTCTTTCACCTTGGCTATAAGACTCCTCAGCTCCTCCTCAGCCATCAAAGTGGTATGATCTGCATATCTAAGGTTGTTAATGTTTCATCCAGCAGTTTTAACTCCAGCCTTGGATTTGTCAAGCCTCGCACATCACATGATGTGTTCTGCATACAAGTTGAATAGGTTGGGTGAGAGTATACAACCTTGCCGTACGCCTTTCCCAATCTTGAACCAGGCTGTTGTTCCGTGGTCAGTTCTTACTGTTGCTACTTGGTCCTTGTACAGATTCCTCAGGAGAGAGACAAGGTGGCTTGGGATGCCCATCCCACCAAGAACTTGCCACAATTTATTATGATCCACACAGTCAAAGGCTTTAGAATAGTCAATGAACTGCCAACCTAGCAGTTCAAAAACATGCAAATGTGTGCAGATTAATAGGTAGCACTCCGGTGGGAAGGTAACGGTGCTCCATGCAGTCATGCTAGCCACATGACCTTGGAGGTGTCTACGGACAACGCTGGCTCTTCGGCTTAGAAATGGAGATGAGCACCACACCCCAGAGTCAGACACAACTAGACTTAATGTCAGGGGACAACCTTTACCTTTAATGAGCATTTGGGAGTGAAAGAAGCATTAGTGCAACATTGCTAACAATGCCATTAGTCCACATCTAAGTAAGATACATTCATTCAATGCTCTAACCTAGCTGAAACAACAATAGAAGTGAAGCCATTATATTAAATGTAGTTCAAGCGTAAGTAGCCATAGGCTGTAAACTTTGACACCCTGTTAGCTGCCATGACTCATAGAGAATGGTACTATGCCAGCACTATTTGGCAGAGAAGGTTAAAGATGTTGTAAAACTATTACTCCCATGTGTTAGGGAAAGCTACCCTAAATATAGCAGGGCACATTTTTTCATGGTAAAGAACTGGGTTTGAGCTGCTCTTAACACCTATCTCTTCTAAGGTTTCAAGAAAAGGAAAAACTCAATCGCTACATCTCTCTTGACACACAAG